GGGGGGGGGGTGTAGTGTTTACGGGGGGTGTAGTGTTTTTGAGGGTGTGTAGTGTTTACTTGGGGTGTGCAGTGTTTCTGGGGGAGTGTAGTGTCTGCCACAGAGTCGCTCCAGCGACTCCTTTCCTCGAGAGGCCTGTGGTGCTTTTTCTCAGCCCTAAATGACCATTACGCTTTTTGTGTGTTTTTCTGTCTTCCTCTTCAAGAGAGAGACAGATCGGAGACAGATATCGGCAATAACAGTTTGCCACTCATTTCTCTTTCGGATAGTTGTAAAAATGGTCTTTTTCTGTCATCCATCTTTACAAGTTTTTAAGTAGGATATTCGTGGTCTACCTCTGCTTATCTTCCCCTTTTTTCAGGTAAGAGCAAGGTGAGCTTGGATTTTTCTTACCTAAGCACTGTATTGGTCGCTTCCAAATTAATTTTATTCTCCGAACCTATACAAGAATAAACCCTCTCTCTTTCTCACTCTTGTCACCGGTGTCTGTGTATAGAGGTTAGCGTGTTTTGCTGTCGCACGCAAAAGACCCGAGATCGTTTTCCCCAAGAATTTTCATCAAGTATCTAGGTCTTTCTGGTGGGGTGTATCTCCCTCGCCTGGGTTAACCCTGACTGCAGACAGGGTCGGAAGCCCGTCTCCTAAATAATCTAAATTATGTCCTTTGGGGCGTTAAAAAAAAACCTACATCTTGTCACTCTCGTCAGATCGCCCAAAGTACCGGCTCCGAGAGCCCGCGAGATGGCGACCGGAAGATGTCCAAACTGTTCTCCCGGAGGTTGACGATGGGCAAGAAGGACGACGCCTCGGAGACCAGCCAGGAGGAAGGGGGCGGGGCCAAGAGAGGGAGCCTCATGCCTTCCAGCTCCACCAGAACCAGCGTCTCCGCCGGAAGTGGGTCGCGCTTGAGCATTGTGGGACTGATGGCGAGCAGACGATTCGCCAAGAGGCTCATGGGTCGGGCCCTGGAGAAGAGGGAGAGCACGCTGGGAGACGGCCCCCCACCCGTGCTGTACGAGCCCACCTACAGGCTGGATCCAAAGAAGAAGTTTGAGCCCAGCCCCGTGCTCAGCATTGTCAAAGACGTTATCGACAACAGACTCAAAGACATGAAGTAAGTCGGGGGTTAGTGTTGGCAACAGCAAAAGCTAGCATAATGGTAACTCCAACAAAAACAACAACTATAACAACAACAAACAAAAAAACAACAACAACAACAAAGACATCAACAACAATAACAAAACTTCAAAAAACAATAACAACAACAATAAAAACAACAACAACAACAACAAAAAGGGCAACAACAACAAAAACAAAAAGGGCAACAACAACAAAAACAACAACAACAACAACAACGACGACAACAACAAAAACAACAACAACAATAATAACAACTACAAAAACAACAACAGAAACAACAATAACAACAAAAACAAAAACAACAAAAGCAACAACAACAACAGCAATAACAACATCAACAAAAGCAACAACAAAAAGCAATAACGACAGCAACAACGACAGCAGCAGCAGTAACAGAAACAATAAGTATAGCAAATGTGGGCCCTGGAGAAGAGGGAGAGCACGCTGGGAGACCCCTTTCCGCCTGTGTTGTACGAGCCCACCTACGGGCTGGAGCCCAAGACGAAGTGTTTGTTTTAATAAGAGTTTTGCGGCACTTGCAACACAATAAGGTCATATAAGTGCCGAAGATTAAAGGTGCTACAAGAGAGTAACCAACACAAAAAAGAAGGAGGAAAGATCAGGGCGATAGCTGTTTGATAAGAGAGAAGAAGCAAAGCGCACCACAGCACCCGCCAACCACCAACAAGAAGAAGTTTGAGCCCAGCCCCGTGCTCAGCATCGTCAAAGACGTTATCGACAACTGACTCAAAGACATGAAGTAAGTCGGGGGGGTGGTGGTGCTGGCAACACCAAAAACTAGCATAATGGTAATCCAATAACAGCAGCAACAACAATAGCGACCACGACAACAACAACAACAACAACAACTATAATTTTAAAAAATAACAGCTGCACCAACAACAACAACATCAACAGCAACAATAACAACAAACAAAATCAATAATATCAGGAGCAGCAGCAACAACAACAACAACAACACAAACGACATTAATATTTTTTTTTTAAATAAAAAAACAATGGCAGTAACAACAACAAGATGATGCATCCTCCTTTCTTCCAGATACAACCCCCGAATCACACCCAACATGAACCGGATCCTCAGTGAAGAGGTCAAAGACAGAGTGAAGAAGTTGAACTTTGACCGTTACAAGATCATCGTCCTTGTGATGATCGGTGAGAAGAAAGGTCAGGGCATCATGGTGAGCAGTCGGTGCTCCTGGGACGACAAAGTGGACAATTACGTCACTCACACCTTCCAGAACAAGAATATCTTCTGCACGTGCAATGTGTACGGCGCATACAAGGAATGAGGGAGGGCAAAAATGCTGTACGTGTTGTTGTGCATGTGTGTACTGGCAAAGATCGCAGACGTTAAGTAATGATTTTACTTATTATAAACAGCAAAGGTCGTTATGTTATACGCTAAAAGCTAAAAGCTAAAAGTTGAGGAAGGACTTTACTTATTATAAACAGCAAAGGTCGTTGTACGCTAAAAGCTAAAAGTTAAGGAAGGACTTTACTTATTATAAACAGCAAAGGTCGTTATGTTATACGCTAAAAGCTAAAAGCTAAAAGTTAAGGAAGGACTTCACTTATTCTAATAAACAGCACAGATCGTTGTACGCTAAAAGCTACGAAAAGAAGAACTTTACTTATTATAAACAGGAAAGATCGTTGTATACTGAAAGCTAAGAAAAGAAGGACTTTACTTACTTATTGCAAAGATGCTATACTACAAGATAGTTCACTGCTCTCTTTGTCCAACCAAAGAATTAGTCCTCAAAATCGCCCCTGGCGCCACCTGAGAATTTGCGCGGTCTGGGTGAACAGCTGACTATGGAAACCTAGGGAAATAAATAAATATTATTATCTCAGGGTAGCGTTGTTACTATGCTATCCTCACAGTTTCTTGCAACAAAATAAATGTTGTTTGAATTGTATTTTGATTGAGCCTAGGATTAATGTAGTAACAAGAGAAACGGTTGTGGGCCTAATGAAATTATTCATAACATTATTAGATCTCGATTTATCGACACCACTGCCCACCCTCTTTCTCGATAGATTTGTTAGAGTGGGCAGTTGAGGAATTGGACGTGTCCTTGGCCTTCTCAGAACTGTCACACTGAGAAGGCCTAGGGCGTGTCAATCCTATTCACCTGTAGTTGGTCAGAAGGTTCCCAGACTTTGTACCTGTCAGAAACATAGATGTAGTCTATTCTAAACCAAGTTCCCAGAGTTTTATGGGGTATTCTGCTAGTGCTATGCAAAAAGCTGATTGGGTTGAGGAATAATAATAATAATGTTGTTTTTACAAGGTAAAAGGTGGGCTGCTTTTCTTCTTGTGAAGCAAAAAGAGCTCTTAAAGATCGACAGTGGCGCCATCGAAGAATTAGTTTAAATCCGTTGGAAAGCACGAAGTCTTTAGAGGGTAAGTCATCTTGCAGCGTTCTATCTGTTTTGTTACTTCGGATGCGTGGAAAAGAAATGACTTGTCTGCATTGGAACTGGGTTGAATCTTTGTCAAAAACGAGGTGAAAATCCATACGTGGTTCATATGATGCCATGCTTATTTATGAAGACATTCATCACCATTGCCTTTCTCACCCTGGGTCAGGGTATAGGACACCGACAAACATTTTCTACTTTTCCTTATCGCGGGCTAGCCTCTTGATATAATACCATGTCTTCCCACTTTTCTGTACATCATTCTCTGTAACACTTTCCCGGAGTGCATTCCATGGAGACATTGCAAATAGTCTACCGGTATTGGTGGTTCATGTGTGTGTGAAGGTTTTTAGAAGAGGGAATCTTATTCATGGAAATCAATTCCCTGGTGATATTAATTACGGCAACGTTTTGTATTATTTTCAGGAGAGACGAGAGTGTTTAGTATGGTTTTGGAATATTCAGTAGCCATATTTATTGTTGGTGTTCGGAGTTTTCTATGATCGTTATTATGGGGTGAACTGGAGGCATGTTTATGATGTATGTATCCGCTTGTTTGACTTAGTGTGTGTGTGCGTGTGTGTTTTGTGTGTGTGTGTGTGTGTGTGTGTGTGTGTTGTGTGTGTGTGTGTGTTTTGTGTGTGTGTGTGTTTTGTGTGT